CATTAACCCAACACTGACAAGTCCCCGACTAACCCATGTCCCTCAGCACTGTGTCTACACGACTCTTCAATCCCTCCAGGGATGGGGACTCCACCACTGCCCTGGGCAACCCCTTCCAATGCCTCAGAACCCTTTCAGCAAAGAAATTCTTCCTCACATCCCATCTCAACTGCCCTGGCCACAACTGGAGACCATTTCCTCTTGTCCTGTCCCTTGGGCCTTGGTTGAACAGACCCACCCCCACCTCTCTCCACCCTCCTCCAAGGGACTTGCACAGAGCCACAAGGTCTCCCCTCAGCCTCCTTTTCTCCAGGCTCAACACCCCCAGTTCCCTCAGCCACAAGGGAACTCAGCACACTTGTGCTCCAGACCCTTCCCCAGCTCCGTTCCCTTCTCTGGACACGCTCCAGCACCTCCAGTTCCCAGCCATGCTGCAGTGACACTGAATTAGCGGTTCACTCCTCTTCAGGACTCGAAGCCGACATTCAGTGTAGCCCCATATCAGCATTTCACAAGGAACAGCTGCAGCTCATGCTTTGTAACCACTTAAGGATCGTATCTGGCAGCTACACAAACACAGCAGCGCTACGCCAAGAGACTCAAGAAAAAACCAGGCGACTGCTGCTTCTGCAGTGCTGGCCACAAGCCCAGGGACATTTTCCCCTTCCCAGTTCCCATCCAGGCGCCCATAAAGGCCTTTTTCCTGCACAGCAGCAGCACGGATTCTGCTGGGCTGGGTTTGTTTGCTTTGGTTTTTATAGTCAGGTAAGCACAAGGCCCTTCCTGCACTCTGATCTTGTGCAGACAGCCACCCATCTCACCAGCAGCAGCCAGACACAGTTAAGCACCTTGTCTGCTCTGCAGAAAAGCTGCTGCCTCCCAGGCACACCCAGTTCACACCAGTATCTGTGACTTCAAGCTGTCAGCAAGATGGGTGCACAGAACGCTGGGTTCTTCTGCCCACTGCTTTTAGTCTGTAGATATTCCCCTCACACTTCCACCCGCACGACGCAGCGCTCGGTGCTGGACAGAGCGGAGGAGTTACAGAGTCAGACAGCGACCGACTCGCTTCAGGGCACGAGAGCCACCAGGATTTGCAGATTCAGCATCCAGCTGGGGGTCAGCGGGTGAACTGATGAGCTCTGCGGGAAGGGGCACCGAGGCTAACGCCAAAAAGATGCTGAGAGAAACTAATGTGGCAGACACAGCAGAGCGAGTGCAGCCAGCCTGAGAGCCTGGCTCTGGGGCAAAGCATGAGGGACACACGCAGAGGCTGTGTCTGTCCTGAGGAACACGGAGCTCCACGCGCTGCCTAACGAGAGGAAGGACACTGCAGATTGACAAACGCATCCATAGAGTATGTATGACATCCTGTGGATGTAAACGCTTTCAGCTGGCCTTTCTTCCTCCACCAGAAACAAAAACAGCAGCTCAAGATGTGCCCCCCAGTCACAAACCCCGCAGCACCAACACTCCCTGCATGCCCAGGCAGTCGTTAACGGGTTACTTACACCTCTGATTACTTTTCCTACACCAACTTTGAAACTTAAAGGCTTGGCTGCTTTTTTCTTCTTTGAACCTGAAAGACAGTTAGATGGTCACTTGCTTTAACATCACACCAGCACATAACATGCTTCTGTCTAAAATGACTGTCAGGATCATGCTTTATATAAACATTTGTTCCTATAGTGCTATTTGCAGCCCTCTGACAGATTTTTAGGGGACGACTTAGTGCTGTGCACTAAAAACGCTGTTAAACATTCAAGTTGCATCAAGAGCTCAAGCTGTATCTTACCAATACTGATCCAGTGAACCTAAAAGACTCATTCCTGAATTATTAAAGTTGATGGTATAAATCATAAACACATTAGTGAAGCAAAAAAAAGTCGAGAGGGAACATACAGCATCGTACAACAGGTACAACGAGCCACAGCCCGTATTTCAGTGACAGCCCTGCTGTCCTCTCAGCGTGGGACAGCACTGCTGGAAAAGCCTTGCTAGTACTTCAGAAATCTCACACACCGAAATCCTCCCATGAGAACCTGTCACAGAAACACCAGCACACTTCTTTGCAGCAGACATAGCCCACCAGTCTACCTCAGATCAGGCTCACTCCGGTGCCTCCACGTTTCAGGGTTCATTACAGAAGCACACCACGACGTGTCTGTTTAGAGAAGTTAACTCTACTGTTGGTGCTCAGGTTCCATAGATATGGGAAGCTCCCTGAGCAGGAACTGTCTTTCCTTCAAAGAAGTTCCAGCACTGATTAAACCCCCACGTTTCACATGATCTATGGCCTGGGGAATGCCAAATGTGAGGACCGGCAAGATGCAGCAGTGTAACTGTACACCAGCCAGCCTTAAAATACTGCCCTGCATTCCCTCATGGAAAATCAGGCTGAGGGGACACTGCCAGTCAGCTCAACAACACGATGGCAAAAACAGTTTGTCAGGACTCCCACCACGCACATCTTCCAGAAGCAAACACTTTCTGAGGCTGCTAATGATTCCGGCTCATTTCCTCTACGTGCATGTGAACGAAAGCCAAAGAGAATGTAGGTGACCTTACTTGTTTGAATATTGGTATCGAAGACTGTTCCATCCTGCAGTTTCCCTGTATACCAGCAGTGAACAGTGTCTCCTTTCTTCGGAAAGTTGGTTTTATCACCCTTCTTTAAAATTGATTTTGTATATTTTGGTGGCCCCTAAATTTATAAAAACAGAGTTATCACTGCTGCATCAACTAGTCTCAGAACAATTAAGTTAAAGACCAAGCAAGCATTTAGTTCACAGAATCCCAGAATTGCCCAATTTGGAAAATCCCTTTAAGCTCATCGAGTCCAACCATGAACCCAACACTGACCAGTCCCCTATGACTAACCCATGTCCCTCAGCACTGTGTCTACACGACTCTTCAATCCCTCCAGGGATGGGGACTCCACCACTGCCCTGGGCAACCCCTTCCAATGCCTCAGAACCCTTTCAGCAAAGAAATTCTTCCTCACATCCCATCTCAACTGCCCTGGCCACAACTGGAGCCCATTTCCTCTTGTCCTGTCCCTTGGGCCTTGGTGGAACAGACCCACCCCCACCTCTCTCCACCCTCCTCCAAGGGACTTGCACAGAGCCACAAGGTCTCCCCTCAGCCTCCTTTTCTCCAGGCTCAACACCCCCAGTTCCCTCAGCCACAAGGGAACTCAGCACACTTGTGCTCCAGACCCAACACACACTTTGGCTCAAGGCACCAAATGAACACAGGCAGAGTCAGTGACTGACATGTTTTAAAGTGTCCGTGTCACTGCAGTGCTGTAATATTTGGGGAAAATGTAGCAGCGTGGGTGCAGCTTTCAGCAAAAACCAGGTCTGGGAGAGATGCCCAGGGCCCGTCACTACCCCAGGTTACAGAAGTGCATCAGGTTCAGGCACAGGACAAACACCAGAGCTCTCGCTGTAACCAGGTTTTTGAAGATCTGGTTAATTTGGCTGCCCCACGCGATGGCTCAAACAACTCAAGGCCGGGGGTGCAGCACCGACCTCCTCCGCCGCTTCCTCGGGCTTCGCCGCTTTCCCCTTG